CCTCACCTACCACCTGTCCTCACCTACCACCTGTTCTCACTTCCCACCTATCCTCACCTGTCCTCACCTCCCACCTGCCCTCATCTCCCACTTATCCTCACCTGTCCTCACCACCCACCTGCCCTCACCTCCCACCTGCCTTCACCTCCCACCTGCCTTCACCTCCTACCTGTCCTCACCTCCCACCTGCCCTCACCTCTCACCTGTCCTCACCTACCACCTGTCCTCACCTACCACCTGTTCTCACCTCCCAGCTGCCCTCACCTCCCACCTATCCTCACCTGTCCTCACCTCCCACCTGCCCTCATCTCCCACCTTTCCTCACCTGTCCTCACCACCCACCTGCCCTCACTTCCCACCTGTCCTCACCTCCCACCTGTCCTCACCTCATGGCTGTTATCATGTCTGACAAAGAGGAGCCGCAACCAGCCAGTCAACCCCAGAGCAGCAAGCCCTCTGTCAGTGGAGAAGTAGCCATCATGAAGTCAGCACGCCATCACTGTGGAAGCTTCTAGGGCCCACCCTCGTGTCCCCAGTCTCTAGCTGAAGCTCCATTGAGTTTTTCCTCTCCCCTTTCCCAATTTGAAGAAAGAGGCTTCCCTAATTGTTCACGATTCAAAAGAAGCATTTAATTTCATTATGTGTCCAATGGGCTTGAAAGGCAGCAAATTAATCACCATTATTAATAATATTTCCATAGTTAGGCAAACAAGCCTCCACACTCTAGACAATCCACATGATGAAAACTTTTGAGACGAAGCCCATTTTTACGTTAAGGGTGGCTGGCGTGTCTCAACATGTGTCTGGTTGTCATTAAGTCTGATGTGATAACCGAGCACATGCGCAGCCCTGCCCACCCAACCTTCAGTTCCTCTCTCATTGTTCATTCTCCGAGCATGTGGCGACCTGGCGCCTGCACTACGCCCGCCTCGGCTCCCTGCTGGCCACCGAGCTAATGCTGCCGAAACACCAGGGGAGCCCTGGTGTGCCGTGGGCTAAGCCTCGGGCTGTTCACAGAGAGGGTGGACGTTCAAATCCATCAGCTGCTTCACGGGAGACAGCCGAGGCTGTCTGCTTCTGCGGAGATTCACAGAAACCCTGGGGCAGTCTACCCTGTCCTGCAGGGTCCCTCTGAGTCAGAATGGACTCCACAGCTTTGGGTAGAATTATGCCAAAAACCTGGGCCAGGCACCACGATTTGTTCTTCCACACCAACTGCACTTTTCCTCACTGACATGATACCTCTGAGGGGCTGGCGCGATCCACAGAAACCAGACTAGAAGACAGCTGTCGCCATTCAGTGCGCTTCCGGCCTTTAAGACTGAGAGGGAGACCAGCTGAGAACCTACCACCAGGAATAGAGAACCCCCGTGTTCCTGTTTGGCTTGTTTTTGACTTTTTATTGTGCATTAGGAGAAAGTTGACAGAGCAAATTGGTTTTCTTTCTTTTCTTTTTTTACGCACATCAGTTTCCTAATCAGCGTTCCTACACCTTTTGTTTTAACCCATCCACTGCAATCCACCCCTTGTCTTTTCCCAGCCCTCTGAACTTTGTCCTTGGGCAAAGGCCACCCTTTGGGTCTTAATTGGTTGATGGTTCAAACACAGGTGAGTCCCCTTCCGGACCCGAAGAGTGACTACGGGTCATAGTTGTTGGGGGTCCCACCAGGCTCTGTCCAACAAGTAAGCCTGTTGGTCTCCCGTATGATTCTAGTTTTTGGCCAACCCCCACCCCCGCCCACCCCAGTCCAGGACTTTCTACCATGATTCCTTTCAGAGCAGTTGGCAGTGGTAGCTGGACAGCCTCTAGACCAGCGGTTCTCAACCTGTGGGTCGTGACCCCTGGGGGGTGGTGTCGAACAACCCTTTCACAGGGATCACCCGATTCATAGCAGTAGCAAAATGACAGTGATGAAGTAGCAACGGAAATAATTTGATGGTTGGGGTCACCACCACATGAGGAAATGTGTGGAAGGGTGGTGGCATGAGGGCGGTGGGGAACCACTGCCCTAGATCTTTGGGTCTCAGGGTTATAGAGACGGATGCCCGTGGGGCTGACATCCGTGGGTCCGTGGGTCCGTGGGTCCTTCAGTTTTCATCACTTCTTCCTCTGGACCCTCCGGTCTCTCCCTGGAGACCAGCGGTTGCACCTTAGACAGCCACTCGGGAGCAGTTAAGACCCCCGTTGCGCCGACTCCCTGGAGGAGGATGGGGACACTGTCTGGGTGGGCTGTGTCATGGCGGTTGACTTTGGTGTTCCCCTTCAGCTGGCCTCCTTCCGCTCGAAGTGGGTGGGCTCCTCCTCACACGCCATTCAGCCCCCCCCACACACACATTCCCATCTGAGCCATTTTCCCTCATGAACTCAGCCCCCTTGAGTACAGGAGGCAGCCCCCTGCCAGAGGTGTGTGCTGACCCCTCAGCTTTTAGTGGGGAAGGGAGGTTTCTCTTATAAAGGCCCTAAGCCTGTGTGAAACCAGTAAGACACCTCTTTTCCCATCTCCCTTCTAGGAACACCCATGCCCATGGCAGCCATTACAATCCCATCATGCAGCAGCCTGCCCTGCTGACAGGCCACATGACGCTCCCCGCAGCCCAGCCCTTGAACGTGGGTGTGGCTCACGTGATGCGGCAGCAGCCCACCAGCACCACCTCCTCCAGGAAGAGTAAGCAGCACCAATCAGCAGCAAGGTAGGTCGGGTGTGGATTGGGAGAGCGAGGAAGAAAAGCCTGGTGATCTCCTCCTGGGAATCAGCCCAGGAAAACCAGAGGGTTCCGGACAGAAGGAGGCTGACGGGAGCTCCCTAGAGGCTCAGGTCCAACATACGTGAGACACACAGTAACATTTGCTCTTCATGTTCTCACCGAGTTTCAACGAATAGAGTCAGATAACATGCCCTCCACCACCTGGGTGTAGAATGTTTGCTCCAGCTTAGGACATTCCCTCATGCTCTGTCCCAGCCAGACCTTCCCCACGCACTTGGGACATGTCGTCAGGAGACACCAGTCCCTGGAGAAGGACATCGTGCTTGGAGGAGATGCCTGGACTTAGGATAGGCTTCTCAGAACCACGGTGGGGAAGGTGCAGAACCAGGCAATGTCCTGTTCCGTGGTACACAAGGGTCGCTGTTGTACCTAGCAACCACAACACGGGGCTCAAAGTGTGCACTGGACATAGGGCCACTGTGAGGCACAGCCACCTGTGCTTTGGGTCTCGGGCTACTCCCCTGGCAGAAGCAGGCAGGACTTCTGCACACAGAGAGCCCCAGGGTTTTCATGTTTTCCAAGTGGGCTGAGCGGTCCCCAGGGACTGGCAGGACAGGCCTGGCCCCAGGGAGGCCTCAGGCCCCCCTTGAAGGACATGTTCTGCCCTCATCTGGGTAGTGCCCACCCCTGAGGATGAAGGAGCTCTCCCCACTCAAATCCCCCTGGGAAACCATCTCACCGAAGCCGCTCTCGAGAAGACAAGGTGCCGCCTTTGAAAGCTGAGGTTAGACATTTCACTCACGTAACCCAGAGCCCTCACCGTTCCCGCCCAGCCAGCCTCGTCTCTGTGATTCCTTGCGAAGCTGGCATCGGCCAGGCTGTGTCCCAGGAGTCCACTCACACAGCCGTCTGGAAAAGGCAGAACCAGGGGCCAGAGGCTGGCCTCCCACAGGGCCCTGAGTGGGATGGATGGGGCGGGTGGCCGACTGTGATGTGCTGTGAGAGAATGTTCTAGAACTGGGGCTGGCACACTACAGCTTCAAGCCATCCTCAGCTCTTTCCATATGCTCCCGTGGCTCGGAAGTAAACTGAGAATTTGTAAAGGGGATCATTCAGGTAATGGGAAGAAAAAATATATATACATGTATGGCTCTCGAGTAATGTTGTGAGGGAGAAGGTTGGCTGTTCCGTCTCAAAGGTTTGCTGGCCCCTGCTCTGGAATGTAGAATATGACTATATCACAAGTTGCGGGTGGAGGGGTGTTACCTGGCTCTTCTATTTGTTAAAACTCAGTGAAGACTTAGTCAAAGTGAATTCTGCCTATGTGAAGTATGCTTCAATGAACCTGACTAAGGAGCCCAGGTAGCATAGCGGTTAGGGTTGCATTGCTAACCAAAGTTCAGACCCACCCAGCCGCTCCTTGGGAGAAAGGCCTGACCATCTACCCCATAAAGACTTCAGTGTAGGGAGCCCTGTGGGGCAGCCCTTCAATGTCTGATAGAATCACACGCGCCGGAATCAACCGCCAGCACTCAACCACAGCAAACCTGTGGTCAGGATCCAGGTAGTGTGGGCTCACGCTCTCCCCCTAATGGCTTACTTGATAGACCACTGCCACAGACTGAGGGGCTACGGGAGCAGTTCTGCCCTCCCCGTTGGGAGCCACAGACTCCCAGGCTTTGAGGGGTGCCTCCTGGTACCCTACATCCTTGTCGGAACCAAGCCTGCCTTGACCATTCTCGCTCTGACATGAACCCAGGAGTTGTCGCCCCTCAAGGTACGCCGTAGCGGGTTTGGGTTTGGGGTTTGGCCATCTCATCGGTGAAGGTTTAAGAGTCTGCATTCCGTTCTACGTTGGTACTGGCTTCTACCTGGGTAGAGCCTGCCGCGGTCGGCAAGAAGAGGGTGGGGAAAGAAGGAGGTCTTTCTAAAGTTACCACAGAAAGAACGGCGACTGATCAGGAATTCCCAGCCCACCGAGATCGAGGCCTCTCAGGCCTGCCTTTGCCCAGCTTTCCGCCACCTTCCGAGCTCCGGTCCCGCCCCCTTGAGGCCCCTGCACCCATGTGCAGAAGATCCTCCAGTTTTAATTTTTCTCACACACATCCTAATGGTCTGCCTTCATGGCCTGTTCTCTGACAAGAGGAAGGAAGCCCAGCGTCCGGGTGACCATGTTTAGATCCTGTAGTCCAGGGGTCAGCACACTTTTGAGGCAGAAGAGCCCCCTATTGTCCCTCACAGCAATTTTTAAGTTCTTTGGGAGCCAAAATGTATTTTGATAAAACAAGTAGAATCGCCATTATCTGAATCCTATCTTTAAAGTGTCTCCAATTTTACTCCAGAACCACTTGCACGAACCACAGGAACCATATATAATCAGTGAGCTGCACTTTGCCCACCCTGCTTTAGTCACAAGCTCCCAAGCCTAACTGGCCCCTCTGGATCATTCCAGAGTCCCCCACCCCTCACCCTCCTCCCAGGAGATGGTATCACCCACTTTGAGAAACACTGCTTTAGACCAAGACACTGTACAGAATAGTGTTCTGGCTAAATAAACCATTAGCAAGGAAACCAAAGTTATCATTATGTGGCAGATACCACTTCCCCCACCACACCCCAGAACCAGGAAATCCAGTGTGTGTGTGTGTGTGTGTGTTGGGGGAGGCTGTGGACTCTGAGCCATGACCAGGCCCAGCTGGGAAGGAGGACCTGGACCCCGGCGAGAATGGGCCGCAGGGCAGACCCGGTGGAAGGTCTCACTGTTAGGGCCACAGGAGCTTGGGAGCAGAATGTCACCTCCTTGAGGGAGACCCGGGGTTCGTCCCAGTTAGTGCACTTTCCGTGCCGCTGCCGCCTGTCTGTCCGTGGAGGCCTGTGTGTGGCTGTCGTGCTGGCCCCGGTCAGGGTAGACCGGGAAGAAAGGCCTGACAGTATGCCCCTCTGAAAACCAGCCCATGAAAACCCCACGGGTCACAGAGGGCTGGTCCACAGCCGAGCACGGGGCAGCACAGCACCAGGCAGCGTTTCCCTCCTTGGCACACCGAGCTGCTGCGTGACTTTGGGCCTGCTGGGTGGGAGCCAGCCAGCCACAGCGATGGCACCCTCTTCCCCAGGAAGCCCATGGGGCCCTAGGCTCAGCCCCTCACGTGCCGCAGGGCCTGGTGCTCCCTCCATGCCGGGCCCTGGCGTCACCACTGTGGCCCTGGCGTCACCACTGTGGCCCGGATCCTGGGCTGGCCGCCCTCTGAGTGTCACGCCTTGGCTGTTCCAGGAACAACGTGTCTGCCTGCGAGGTGACCTCCTCTCAGGCCGTCGGCTCCCCGCAACGCTCCAAGCGCGTGAAGGAGAACACGCCGCCGCGCTGCGCCATGGTCCACAACAGCCCGGCCTGCGGCTCCGCGGTCACCTGCGGGTGGGCCGACGCGGCCTCCAGCAGCACCCGGGAGCGGCAGCGGCAGACTATCGTCATCCCCGACACCCCCAGCCCCACGGTCAGCGTCATCACCATCAGCAGCGACACGGACGAGGAGGAGGAGCAGAAGCACGCCCCCACCAGGTGAGAGCACGCCTTGCCCCAGCGTGGAGGTGGGGTGCTGGTCCCCCTGCCACCACCTGGGCCATTTCCCTCCCCAGACACCATCCTGACCCCTCACTCTGCCTAAGGTGACTCAGGGGGTGCCGATCAGGTGTTTCCATCACACTGGTCGACAGCAAGTAGACTCCCAGTTGCTTGTTGGCACCGTCAGAATCAGGTGCACGGGATATCAGGTCCCTGTGCCCATGCGCTGAATGCTCCCCGCCTCGGCTGACACTGCTGGGCTCCCTCAGAACATGTCGTAACTGGCCCGTTCATCAGAAACCCTCCTGGGGGTGATCAATCCAACTCTTTGACCACCCGTGGACGCTCCCTCCAGAGGCCTCCGAATCCACCCTATCCCCCTTGTCCCCCAGAAAGAGGGGAGAGTACTTGTGTTTGCCCAATGAGGAACCCTGGGGTGCAGCCAAAGTACGTGGTGCTCAGTGACCCAGTGTTGGAACCTAAGTTCCTGTCCCCGGGAGCAGTCACCCCCCTCCCCACACTCCCCCCACTCACCCCCTGCACCAACTGGCTAAGTAGGGGTCCTCAAACTATGGCCCTCGGGCCACATTCAGCCTGCCGAGGACATTTATCCGGCCCTCCCGGTCTTTTTGCCCTGTTTTGTTTTTTACTTCAAAATAAAGTATGCGCAGTGTGCGTAGGAATTTGTTCATAGTTTTTTTTTTAACTATAGTCCGGCCCTCCCATGGGTCTGAGGGACATTGAACTGGCCCCCTGTTTAAAAAGTTTGAGGACCCCCGAGCTAAGGTCTTGAGACCCGGGATGCCTGCCCCTGGGCCGGGGGATCGAGCCCCAGCCTGTGACCCTGTGGGCGTGTGCTTACCTCATCCCTGAGGCAGTGTCACGGAGCCCTTGGCTGGGCAGGAAATCCCCACCCTTGGAATCATTGCAAAACATACAGCTGTCCAGTGAGTAGCCAGTCCCCTGAGGAATGAGCCCTGAAAACCCTGTGGCTCGCAATTCTATTTGACACCTGTAGGGGTGAGTCCACGCGCTATCACCTGGTGGCGGGTCCGGGGGACTAGTTAGACCAGGATGTGAAGCCAAAAAGGAGGCACTGCAGATTCAGACCACAGAGGAACCAAGGTGGGTCCTCCCGTGAGATACCATGATGATGTTTTCTGGAAGGATCAAAGGGCTAGTCCGATGTTTAGGCATCCAGAAACCAGGAACATGTACTTGGGTCTGGTTGACGCTACTGTATTTATAGAAAAGCCACCGTGTGACCGCGGTCGCATGATGCTGGGCTCATTTTAGGAAGGGAGGAAACTACGGTAGCTCGTGTTCAGAGATCAGGATTATCCTCACATGAAATGTCGTGAAGATCGCTGGCCCCGCCACAGTACCGCAGGATACTGGGAATGACAGGAGTTCCATAAGTACGACAGGCTGGTCCCTGTCCTCGGAGGTCTGCAGGGCCGGAAGCAAAAGAAGGCGCAGACAAATCATGGCAGTACAGAGCCCCACCAGCTGCAGAAAAACCAGCCAAGTTCTGTAAGGACTCAGGGAAGAAATGGCTTCAGGAAACAGCAGGGTGGAGGGAGCGCTTTACGGCCAAAAACATGGGCAGGTGTGAACCAACAGCAGAGGACCGTGAGAGAGAGGCCAAGCCACAGAGGTGGGCAAGTGGGATCAGGCCGGCGGAGCAGGTGCTCATCAAAGAGAAAGCAAGAAGCCAGGGAGATGGGTCCAAAAGGGGCAGAGGTGATAGAGAGGGCTCCCCTCAGATGGAATGAGCCCCCAAGTGCAGCCATAGGGAGCTAGGGACAGCTCTAGACTGCTCCAGTTCTAGCAGAACACTGCGCTCTCCTCCTTCCCAGTGAGCATCTCCATCCCCACCTTATGTGTGCCGACCTCGGCTCCTGCCAAGTCCCTGCAATTCTGGCTTCCAGTGCGAGCCCTGTCCACTGCCTGAAACACCATGAGTTTCCCGAAGGTGACTCCCGTTGTGGCTAGAGAATTGGCCTGCAGACGGAAAGCAAACTATACTTTGGCTACAGCGAAGAGAGCAGCATTCTCGGGGGCCCTCAGAATTAAGTAGTAGGGCTGATCTGATGTAAATATTTATCGGGGATTTTGATTCGAGGACCCTTGAACTTGCTGAACAAGCCGGGTCCCTCTCTACTTGAGATGGCAGAGTGGACAGCCCCATGCCCCGTCGTGACGGGAAGCCCGGGGTTCGTGAAGGGGCCTATCGCAGGTAGTTCTGGCTGTCAGAAAGGATTTGTTTATGTTGAGTGGAGGCCTCACTCCATTTTCCAGAAAGGTCCTGGGTAGTGGGTACTGTCTGAGTCTACATTTTCCCCAAGAGGAACCGAGTCACTGAGAGAGGACATGTCTTGTTCTCAGCCACCTCGGCTCGTGCTGAAGGCAGATTTACCACGGGGGTGGGTGAATTCCACTCTGAGCCAAAGGGACCTCTTCTGCAGCCCCCGAGAATGTCCATCCTAGATATGACCTGCCAGGCAGAACCCAGAAAACCTCACAGTGGTGGCGCCAGGGCCTCCAAGAGGGCGCCCTGCCCAAGCCCCTCAGTCACCAGGCCATAGCCAGCCTCGCTCAGGGCAGTGCCCCTGCTTAGCCTAACACTGCCTTTTGGTGGAGCTCCAGAACTTCCCCTGGGGGCCCTGTCACTTCCGTGTGACCTTGGGCAGGCAGCCGTGCAGCCACTGCGCCCCTATGAGAAGTTCTAGAAATAGGGCTGCCTTCCAGTGGGACGGCAGCAGACCATGTGTCCTCAGCAGTCAATCTTCCCTAAAAATAAATGATCAATGCATGAAAACACATTAATAAGGTCCATTTTTAGAACTTCACCCGGTAACCCAGTGCGTCCAATTGTCATCCTCCTACCAGCCTCTCGGGGCTTGGGGACGGACAGGACAGCTTCCAGAGACACCACGCCGCCCACCCTGCTACTGTGAGCAGCCCAGGGCAGGGCGGAAGCACCCCCGCCTGGCCCAGACCATGGCTGCACCTTTGCCCACGCATCCTGCAGAGATGGTACAGGGTGTAGACCCAGCACAAACGCTTCCTCAGACCTTACTGGCTCCCCACTAAGACCTGTCTCCCTCCTCAGAACCTGCCATTCCTCAAAAGCCGCCTCCCTCCCCAGACCTGTCTTTTCCCTCTTTAGACCTTCCCACCTCCCGCCTCAGACCTTACCTTCCCCCCCAACCCCTGCGGCCTGTCCTGGGTCCCCCTAGAAACCCCGTGCCCTTTCTGCATGTCACAGGCCCCAGGCTAAGCTCACGGTTTCCTCTTCAGTAGGTTGGCCCCCTAGACCAGGTCGCCAGTTCCCAGGCTCCTGCTGCCTACCGTGCACCACCACCCCACACACCTTTACTAGATGCCCATACCAGTGGCCCTGGGCTCACTGCACGCCTGCACTCTGGGTGGCTCCCTGGGGCTCAGCTCCCACCAGTCCTCCATGGGCACCTGGCAATGGCTGGGCTGGGGAGCCTCTGCCTGAGCGGCGCCCACCTCCCTCTGCACCCCTGTCCTTCCAGCAGCGCCTCCAAGCAGAGGAAGAACATCATCAGCTGTGTCACGGTCCACGACTCCCCCTACTCCGACTCCTCCACCAACAACAGCCCCTACTCCGCGGGGGTGCAGCAGCGGGCCGGCCATGGCAGCAGCCACGCCTTCGACAGCAAGGGTGGCCTGGACGGCCACTGCCCCGGCAACCCCAGGACCATCATCGTGCCCCCTCTGAAGACCCAGGCCAGCGAGGTGCTGGTGGAGTGTGACAGCCTCGCGCCAGGTAATGGGGGAGGGCAGCCTCTCGGGGATGGGGCGCTGTGTCCTGCTGGCCACAGAGCAACAGATGCATTAGCATCCTCGCGAGTCCATCACGCTTGTGGTCAAGTAGAACTGTGCTCCTCGGGGTTTAAGTGGCTACTTTTCAGAGCCCTGGTGGCATAGTGGTTACGTGCCGGGCTGCTCACCTCGAGGTGAGGAGTTCAAAGCCACCCGTTGCTCCCTGTGGGGGAAATGAGGTGTTGTACTCCTGTAAAGAGTCGCAGTCTCAGAAACCCCCAGTGGCAGCTCTGCCCTGTTTGCTAGGGTTACCATGCATCAGATCGGCTCGGCGGCAGTGAGTCTGATGGTTTTGTTTTTCAGAAGTTGATTGACAAACCTGTCCTTCAAAGCGCCACGCATGTTAACCTGTGAACCCCTGCTGCCATTGAGTCACGTCCAACTCGGTGGCCCTGTAGGAGGCGGTAGAACGGGCGAGGCTGTAGTTTCTCTCATAAGCAGACTGTCACCTCTTCCTCCCTCAGAGCTAGTGGGTCCGAGCCACCCGTCTTTGCTGCTTAACCACTGCACCACCAGGGTGCCTCATTTCATTCTATCTGGAGTTAAATCTTAAAAACCACCCAGATGGCCAAGAAACACAAGGGACATTCAGACAAATACTAAGAATTACAGAAGTTACTCCCAGTAAAAGCCAGCCTGGAGGTGCAGTGGTTAAACCACTCGCTGCAAACAAACAGGTCAGCGGTTCAAACCCACCAGTCACTCCGTGGGGGAAAGCAGTGGCGCCCACTTCTGCAAAGATATTCAGCTGTGAAAACCCAAGGGGGTGGCTACGAGTGGCAGCCGACTCCATGACAGGGTTTCCCTTGAGCACCTGTGTGCTACTGTCCGTGAAGAGATTCCTGGTGACTCCGGGGCCCCAAAACTCACTATGCCCTGAGCACAGTACCGCCCCAAGCTGGCAGCTGCCCTTCACAACAGTGGTTCTCAACATTCCTAATGCTGCAACCCTTTAAAACAGTTCCTCATGTGCTGGAGACCCTCCCCAACCCTAAAATTATTTCTGTAGATTTGCTACTGTTATGAATTGAGCAGCCCCTGTGGAAGGGTCGTTCGACCCCCAAAGGGGTCACGACACACAAGTTGAGAACCGCTGCTTTAGAGGGCTGCGGGTCCCTGTGCCGGCCCATGGAGCCAGGAATGGCAGCATGCCAGGGACCGTGGCCTCCCTCATGACTACACTCCGGAGGAAGACTGCCTGTCCATCCTTTCTCCCGCCGCCCCCCCCCCCCCAACCTTCTGTGGTCTCGGGTCAGGGAGAGTCCCTGAGGACAGCACATGGAGCCTTCCCAGGTCTCCAAGAGCCTCCTCCAGACAGCACCCGAATGGAGTTACTGGGAGGGTGTGGGATGGGGTGCAAGCCCAACAAGGGAACCAGCTGGGACTAAGCCCTGGTGCTCCTGGCACACTGCCTTCCCCATGTGACTCCCAGAGTCCCCTGCTTAAAGACTATCCCTCCTGGGAGCCCTGCCTCAGCCAGGAAGCGGGTAAGGACAGCCAAGAGTCCATGTTGGGAGTCCTGAACATGTGCTGAGCACCACAGGGGACCTGCTTTGGACGTCCTGGCCAGCTCTCAGCAGCCTCAGGCCCTGCCTGTGTGTCTCCTCTTGTGCACCCCGACACTAAGCACCTTCCATACAGGCCTTGAGTTGGGACTCTTCTCAGGGGCAGCGGGTGGCCTTTTCCACAGTCCTTGCATTATTCATCCGGACCTGCCTTTATCTGTGCTCTGGAGGGAGCTCTTCCACTTCTGGAGAGCACCCTGTGTGCAGCCGCACCCACCCCTGCAGGGTGTCCTTGCCAGTAGGCACCCTGCCCCTTGAGCCCCAGTCCCACCATGCTGGGAGGCAGCCAGCACAGATGGCTCTTCATGGGAGCCAGCAAGGATGGCTGGTTCCCCGTCAGTACCCTTACCCTGTTCCTGGTGCCTCCGGGAGCTCTTGGACTCTTGTTCATGAAGACTGTTCCCACTCCCTGCTTTGTCATCACTGTGTCTCTGACATTGGTGGGACACAAGGCTCAGGGACTCACCAAATACCAATCGAAAGGTGTCAACAAGCTGAGGAAGGCCCGGAAACACTGACTCATCCATGCCAATAAATTTGGAAGATGGCTACAGAAAAGCACGTGGCAATATGGATCTCATTGCTGATGTCAGATGAATCTTGGCTGAAAGCAGAGAATACCAGAAAGATGGTGACTTGTGTTCTATTGACTATGCAAAGGCATTTGACTGTGTGGACCTGTGTTAGTCCTGGTAGACTAGAGAAACAAATTCACAGACACGCATATGTGTGTAAGAAAGAGCTTTATATGCAAGAGCAATTGAACATTGAGAAAACAGCCCAGATCAAGTCCTTAAGTCCGATATTAGCCCTTATGCCGGATCTCAATCTATAAATTCCTCTTCAAACACATACAATGACTCCGAATGCCGGAAGAACACAGGCCAGTGGGTGGAAAGTCGTGGGGATCCAGTGGCAGTGGAGGCGTCTCAGCGCTGGCAAGGGTCTCCACATAGTAGCTCCTTTAGTTCGAGGGCTCTGACTGTATCAATCTAGCTCCACCAGGCTGGTCCTCAGTAATGTCTCCCAGGGAGTGAGCATGTGTCCCATCTCCAGTGAGCTATTTATCTCCTTAGCACCTCCACATGAGGTCATCAAGCTGCAACCTGACTGACAGGCTAAACTCCACCCCTTCGCTCTTAAGTCTCAAATTGGCAACAGATGCTGTAACTACCACAGGACCATAACAAACTATGAATTACCTTGAGAAGAATGGGAATTCTGGAACACTTCACTATGTTCGTTCAGAACTTGTACCTGGATCAAGAGACAGTCATGCGAATAGAACGAGAGAATACTGCATGGTTTAAAATCAGGAAAGGTGTGCACCAGGGTTGTAGCCTCTCACCATACTTATTCAGTCTGTATGCAGAGCAAATCATCAGAGAAGCTGGATTAAAAGAAGAACGAAGCATCAGGATTCGAGGAAGACTTACTAACAACCAGTCGTGTGCAGATGACATAGCCGTACTTTCTGAAAGCGTGGACGATTTGAAGCACTTGCTGATGAAAACCGAGCATTGCAAAACTCCATGCGAAGAAAACCCAAACCCTCCCAGTTGGACTGGTAGACAATAGCATAACAAATGGAGGAAAGATCCACGTGGTCGGGGTTTCATTTTGCTTGGATCCACAGCCCACGTTCTTGGAAGCCACACGCAAGAAATCAAATGACGCACTGCGTTAAGGGAATCAGCTGCATGAGACCATTTTAAAAGTACTGAAGAACAAAGAAGTCATTTTGAAAAGTGTGCCTGGCCCCGGCGATGGGAGTTCCAGTCACCTCCGGTACATGGCAGTGGAAGAATGAATACGGAGACCACAGGAAATCCAGGGCAGTGCAATGGCAGTGTGGTGACAAATGAGAGCGTGCCATGGACCACCAGGAGAACAAATCCATCTTAGAAGAACCACAGCTGGAATGCTGCTTAGAAGCCAGAATGGTGAGACTTTGTCTCGGGTATTTTAGACAGGTCATCGTGCTGGGTCAAGTAGACCGATGAAGAAGAGGAAGCCCATCAAGGAGATGGACTGACACGGTGGCTTCAACAGTGGGGTCCAACATAAGGACCGTGGTGAGGCTGGCACAGGACTGGGCAGTGTCCCACTCTGTTGTACACAGAGTCGCTGTGAGCTCACTTGATGGCACCTAACACCAACGATGCTTCTCTGAGTCTCAGCTGATAGCCCCACCCCACCCCTCACCCTACCCTAGGTGAGGCCCTGAAGAGGCACAAAGGACATGCCTTCTACCCTCTGCTACTCAGATTGTCCATGAAACTCATCAGGCAGTGGAGGAAAGTTAAGTCCAAAGCAGGCCTGGGCCCTGCTTTGACCTCCAGGAGTACTCTGTCCTGTCCTAGGTAGCAGGAGTGGCCCCTCCCAGGGGGCTACTTGGGGCCTAGTCTCTGGCTGTGACCCAAGCCACCTCCCTAACCCTCGCCCATTTCCCTCTGCTCCATCCCACCCTCGGGGACTCAGATAGCCTCAAGGCCCATGACATGCCCAGAGCCCTGTTGCCAGTGTGGCACCAAGCAAGGCACCAAGGCCCCAGGCCCCAGGGAGCTGGCCTCAAATGTGCTTGTTCCACAAGCCCACAGACTCTCTACTGGGCATCTTGTCCCGTGTCCCTCCCACCCCCACCCAACTAACCAGTGGCCTTCTCCCTCTCCCAACAGTCAGCGCTGGCCACCACTCATCCTTCTACAAGTCCAAGTCCTCCAGCAACGTGACCTCCACCAGCGGCCACACTTCAGGGACCTCGTCTGGAGCCATTACCTACAGGCAGCCACGGCCAGGACCACACTTCCAGCAGCAGCCTCTGAATCTCAGCCAGGTGAGTTTCCCCCCACCCCCTGTCCCAAGGGAAGCCAGGCGGAGAGCAAAACCCAAGTGGTTCAAAACATGGCACCCTGGTGCCAGAGCTTAAAAATGGGGAAGAGGGTGGCCAGGGTGTTGGGGGAGGGGCTGTCCCCATCCAGCTGACCCGGGCACAGGTTGACTGCCACTTTGACAGGAGGGAGGCCCCAGTAAAGGAGCTAAGCCGGCAGGGCTGCTGTGCAGGCTGGGAGGGTCTGGGCCCTGCCCCTGGGTGGTCACTGGAGGCTGCATCGGTGTGGCTGGCTTGCCTGGGAGTTTTGTTTGCTGTGGGATTTTTTGAGGGGGCGCGGGTATCTTAGAAGTGCATGCAGCTAAGGGTTCAAGTCTGCCATCAGCAGGCCCCCTTAAGTGAAGGTCCCCTTGGCTCAGGGCGGCGAACTGTGTACCTGAGGGGATTCTGCCACTGCCTGGCCCAGACATTGTCCCCACTGACAGGAGCAGGCAGCGTGGGTGTAGTTCTATGCACTCCCCCTCACGCACCCCCTCTCTGCCTCCTGCAGGCCCAGCAGCACATCAGCGCGGACCGCACAGGGAGCCACCGCAGGCAGCAGGCCTATATCGCCCCCACGATGGCCCAAGCCCCCTACTCCTTCCCACACAATAGCCCCAGCCACGGCGCCGTTCACCCCCACCTGGCCGCCGCGGCCGCTGCCCACCTCCCAGCCCAGCCTCACCTGTACACGTACACGGCCCCCGCAGCCCTGGGCTCAACCGGCACAGTGGCCCACCTGGTGGCCTCCCAGGGCTCAGCCCGCCACCCTGTGCAGCACACCGCCTACCCCGCCAGCATCGTCCACCAGGTGCCCGTGAGCATGGGCCCGCGGGTGCTGCCCTCGCCCACCCTCCACCCGAGTCAGTACCCTGCCCAGTTCGCCCACCAGACCTACATCAGCGCCTCGCCAGCCTCCACCGTCTACACTGGATACCCACTGAGCCCCGCCAAGGTCAACCAGTACCCTTACCTATAAACGCTGGGGAGGGGGCGGCCAGCGGCCGGGGGGGCAATGCATACTGAAGACCCTGCCACACAGACGCTGCAGGGCAGGGGCAGGGTATGGGGAGGGCGGGCGGGCAGACGGAAACGTGAACCAGGAAGGAAGTGACTCGTGGTGGAGGAGAGACGTTTTAAAAAGAGGGGATTCAGGTGGGAGGGGGAGATCTATGCTTTTTATTTTAAAAAGGAAGAAAGAAGAAAAAGAAAAGCGTCAAGCGTCGGTAAGGAGCACACCCAACTCAGCCCACTCTGCACCCAGCGGGCACAGAGACCAGGAGTGCTGCGGAAGATTCCGGAAGCAGGGGGGAGGGGGGAGAAGGGCGGGTCCCAGGATCTGCAGAACTTTAATCTATGAACTTCTCAAAGACTATTTTCTTAGGGCAGCAGGTGACATTGGAAGCGTTTGCTGCCAGGGACGCCGGCTGTGGAGATCCAATAGGTTTTTAATGAATTCAACGTAAGCATTAGGGATTTTTCCAGAACTCGGAGTGCCAGGCTGAGGCCTGGAGAGGCTGATGTTTGGGGAAGGGGTGGGGTTGGCGGGGAGGGAGGTCTGAGAGGCGGCAGGAGAGACGTCTGGCTTCGGGGTGGAGAGCCCCGGAGAGGGGCCGGCTGGCTCTGGACAAATCCCTAAGCAATGTGATTCCTGAAAACGTGGCGAGGTTGCGTTCCTTTCTTCCAAGGGTTCGGTTCTTGTTGGTGCGACCCCCTAGTGGCGCAGCGGAGGGCTGGCGGTCGTCCCCGG